CATCACGCCATCAGAAACAGAACATGAGACAAAAAGATGGCCAATAGATTTCAGATGGTGTGTTCTGAGAGCCTGGGATGTCTCTTATGAACAAACCCTGTCTCTTGATTTTCTAAAGAATCTTCACCAACCTAGAAAATTTCATGTGACTATTTCTTCTGCTCCCATAAAAAGAAAAACAAGTCAAGTGCGTTGGCTAGGGTGTTCCTCAGACTTCTTCATGTGAAAAATTCCAGCTCTTATACAGCTATCCACTCGACCAACAGTGTCCCAGGCAACTTATTTTTCTGGTATTGGGGAGCAAACCCAGGGCTTTGTAATTCCTAAGCAAGCACTCTGCCACTGGGCTAAATCTCCAGCCCCATCCCCATGCCACATTTTGTAAAAGGATACTTTAGCTAGAGGTGTAGCTCAGTGGTAGAGCATTTGCCTACCATGCAGCAGGCCCTGGATCCCATTCCCAGCAGAGGGGAGAGAGGTGTGAGGAGGTGTGAGATTGGTTACCTATCATCTCTAGGTTTTTCATCCCAGCCACTTACCCCATTCTGAAAGCTTTGATACTGGTGCCTTCTTGATTTTATCAGAATATATCAAACAAAAGCACTTTCAGACCCTGTCCCCACCACCAGTTTATGCACGGTCCAGTGGTTTGTGGACCCAAGCACCAACACTCAGTTGTCCAGACAGGCTTCCCAAAATAACTAGCACTTGTGAATTGGCAGAGGACCCCAGCTGGCACAGCCTCATCTCAAGGCCGCTAGGGTGAGGGAAATGGGTGCGCTGCATTAGTAGGGAAAGAAGGCCAATGCAGTAGAATTTACAGAAGAAGCCTGCACAAAAGTCAGTGGAAATAGACCTACAGGGACGCTTGGAGTCTTCAGTGTCATGAACAGCTTAGAAAGCTGTCAGTGAACACTTGGTAAGACATTTGCCAATTCTGAAACCCGTACAAGGCACCATCCCAGTAGCCCCCAAATCCAGGCTCTGAGCACACTGTTGCACGCATTCTGTGCTTCAGTTTCTTAAAACTAGCTAGCTCCCCACAACAGGCCACCGGCAGACTTACCTCTCTGCATTTACACTTGCCTTTCCACCCACTGGCACACCAACTCCCACTTTTTTGTCCTGGTGAGCTCCTACTTAGCCCTAATGTCACCTCCTCCGGGAAGCACCCCCATGATTTCTCTAGGCTTTTCCAGCCCTTTGGGACCTTGAGGGGAGTGTGTTTGTGTATGTGTGCTTCTTCTAGTCTATTGTGAACTCTCGGGAGTGTTGGGAGGTATGGGGGGAATGCTTTATGCTTGGTTCTTTCTGTAGCCCCAGTGCCCAGCCCAGCACTGATGTCTGAAGTAGATTTTCAGTCAAGGCCAGCCAGAGAAATGAATACAATGAAAGTTATCACCTAGCTGCCACCTGTCTGACATGTTTTGAAAAATGCTAAGAAAGTGCACCCTGCCCCCACTTCCCAGCACTTATCCAATGGGCCTTTACAAGAGACCCCTGCTGAAATGGAAACACCCCTAGCAGCACCTTAACCCTTCCCAGAAAATAACCAAAAAGCAACTAGTCATCCTAAAGTCTGGACGTGACAGCTTCCTGTCTTCAGTGTCATGAACAGCTGCTGTGGTTAGAATGTGAAATGTCTCCCACAGGCTGGAGTGCTTGAACACTCAGTCTACAGCTGGTAGTGATGTTTGGGAAGGTTGTAGAAGGTTTAGGAGGTAAAGCCTCACTAGAGGAAGTGACTCATGGCGGGGGTGGACTCTGAGGTTTTATATGCCCCCCCACTTCCTGTTCTCTCTCTACTTCCTGATCACAGATGCAGTGAGACCAGCCTCCTGCACCTGCCACCAAGTCTCCCCCACCATGACGAGCCCCTGGAACTCTAAGCCAGAATAAAACCCTCCCTTCCTTAAATTTCTCCTTGTCAAGTATTTTGTCACAGAAAAAAAAAAAAAAAAAAAAAAGTAGTTACTACAAGGCCTGAGAATATTTCCATTCAAAATTAAACACAATAGCAGGGCAGGTACTCAGAGGCTTTACCAGGGGTAATCCCCCCTTTTTTTTTTTTTTTTTTTTTTGAGACAGGGCTTTTCAGAGAACTTCAAGCTCAAGGCCAGGCTGGGCTACATAGTGATATCCTGTCTCAAAAAAATAAAACTATAGGCTGGAGAGATGACTCAGTAGTTAAGAGTACTTGTTGCTCTTACAGAGGACCCAACTTCAGTTTCCAGCACCCACATCAGATGGTTCACAACCTCCTATAACTCCAGCTCTAGGGAATCTTGTACCCTCTTCTGGCTTCTACAGGCATGGTCACACATGCACATACCCTCAAACAGACACATATACAAGTAATTTAAAAATAGTAAGAATGAATCTTTTTCAAACAAAACAAGCAAGCAAACAACAAAAATCCCACTAAATTAAACAGCAAAGAGAGACCAGGAGAGGAGGAAATGGCTACTTTGAAACAGGGAAGGAAATACCACTTTCCAACTGCACTTTAGCCTGAATTAAGTGCCTCCTCCCCAAAAGCCTTGAGTTCCTTCTCCCTATCAATCTGTGTACTAGTTTACTTTCTGTTGCTGTGATAAAAACAACTGACCAAAACCAACTCAGAGAGGAAAGGGTTTATTTTAACTTACAGGTTGCAGTCCGTCACTGAGGGACGCCAAGGAGGAAACGCAAGGTGGGCACCTGGAGGCAAGAACTGAAGCAGAGACCATGGAGGAATGCTACTTACTGACTTGCTTTCCATGGATTGCTCAGCTACCTTTCTTACGTAGCCCAGACCTAACTGCCTAAGGATGCACCACCCACAGTGGGCTGGGCCTTCCTACATCAATTAGCAATTGAGACCATCCCCTACAGTTGTGGTCACAGGCCAATCTGATGGAGGAAGTTCCTCAGTTGCGGTTCCTTCTTCCCAGGTTACTCTAGTTTGTGTCAAATTGACAAAAACTAACCAGCTGCACTGCCACTGACCTTTCATGTCTCTCTCCCTTACTAGGCCCTGAGCACTGAGGACCCCGGAGTCTTGCCCACTGCTGCATCCCCAGTTGTTATCAAACACAGGTTGTTTATCAGTAACTTGGAGAAAAAAATAAATTGAACTTCAGAACTACATGTATATCTAGGGAACATGGTAGTAGTTTAAAACAGTGCCTGACAACATCACAGATAGACAGGTGGACAAGTGGGTGCTCACATGTGCGTCCCTTCTGCACCGCAGTGCTGCCAGCTCCAACATCAAGGTGAAGATGAGCAAAGGGAGGAAGTGTGATGACACCAGATACCTTCCCATCAAGCCAGCACAGGGCTGGTCAGGAAGTAGTGGCTGAGTTGGCAAAGAGAATAATCAAGCCCCAACACAGGTTATATGGTACGGCAAGACTCTACATGTGACAACTTAAATGTCTAAGCCAGGCAGGCTCACAGATGTAAACATGTAGGCAAATCAGAGAGGGGAGACTTGGACAGGACCCCTTGTGATACCTGATCTACCATTGATTATCATGAAAGAGACCCTCTGCAGGGCCAGGGACCGGTATGAAGATCTCTAATCCTGTGGGCTGTGATTTTTTTTTCCATTTGTGTATGTGTATGTATGCTCATGTATGTGTGTACTTATTACCATAGATGTGTGCACATGTGCATGCAGGCCTCTGTGTGTGTGTGTGTGCATGTGTGTGTGTGTGCGTGTGTGTGTATGTGTTTAGGTTATCAGTTATCAATTGTTCTCTGCCCTTTCTTTTTTTTGAGATTGGGTTTCTCACTGAACTGGAAGCTCATCAACTCAACTTGACTAGGCTGGTTGGTCAATGAGCTTCAGGGATCTGCCTCCACCAGCATGCCACCACTCCTGGGCTTTTTATATGGGTTCTAGGAATCAGAACTCAAGCCTTGTATTTGTGCAGCATGTACTCACTGACTGAGCAATCTCCCCAGCCCTGGGCTGTGTCCTTCAGAGTGCCCAGAGCAAGATACACACACTTCCATAAATACTAATTGAGTGACAGAACTGAGAAGTAAAGGAGCTTTGAGAAATGAACTAACTTGTCTAGGGTCTTCAGTGAGAGAAAGATCCAGATCTTGAGCTCAGGTGTGTCTGACTCTGGAAATACAGAGGTGGGAATGTATAATCTTTACCTTCATGTCACTGTGACAAATAGCTGACAGAAATATCCTAAAGGAGGATTTTGGCTCATGGTTTCAGAGGGTTTTGATCCATCATGGTGGGGATGGCTGGAGGTGCTCAGTTTGAGGTGGCAGGAACATGTGACAGAGGCTGTTCATATCACAGTAGACCAGGAAGCAGAGATAGTCAGACCAAAATCAGGAGCCAGATATAACCTTCAAAGGACCTCCCTGGGACTGGAGTGATGGCTCAGCAATGAAGAACACTGGTTGTTCTTGCATGCAGGGGACCTGGGTTCAGTTCCCAGCACCCACATGGTGGCTAACAACTATCCAGAACTTCAGTTCCAGGGGATCCAATGCCCTCTTATGACCTTCACAGGCATTGCATGCATGGGTGCACTTAGCATGACAAAGCATTCATGCACATATAATAAAAATAAATTTTTAAAAGTTAAAGGTTCACCCTGGAGACCTGTTTCCACTGGCTACCCCACACCTCTCAAAAATTCCACAACTTCCCAAAACACATCACTAGCTGTCAAATATTCAAAACAAGAGCTCTGGTGGGGGGAATTCTATATTCATTTCATTATAGAAGGTTCCTGCTCTGTCTTATGGGTCAGGGGGGTGGCCTCAGAGATGACTGGTCCTAAGACGGAAAGATATAAATCAACTCATCATTGATATTTGTGTTTCTCTCTCTCTCTCTCTCTCTCTCTCTCTCTCTCTCTCCATATCTGCCTATCCATCTATATATTCATCTGCCTGTCATTCTCATCTCTCTCCCTCTCTTTTTCTATCGGTCTACCTATCTCTCTCTCCAATCTGTCTCTCCTCACTGCTGCTTCTTCCTCTAGCTTCCTGGTCCAGTGTGTGAAGATGGGCCGTGGATATTTTAGCATGTTACAAGAGGAAAATGCAATGAAAAAGAGACAACAGCAACTTCAGAAGCTGATGGAAGAAGAATTAAATAAATTCCAGCCAGCCAAGAAGCACTCGGATATCCAGTGCAGGGACACTGTGTTAACGTGAGTGCAGCCTTAAGAGATGCTGAGTGGTGGAGGTTGTCCCAGGGTGGGACCCCCTCTCACATTTAGTCTGGTTCAACCTTCCTTTGCTATCCCCACACTCTGACATGGGGTGGAATGTCTTCCACTCTACATTCTGCTTTTCTGTCTGATGACATTGAGCTACACAAGAAATCTTGCTGGTTCCCAAAAAGAACTCTCTCCCTCTCCTCTCAATAACTTGTATGCTGGTCTCTGAGCTCTGAGCATCCTTCGTACATCCTTTACTAGTCAAAGTTCTACTTTGACTCCTCCAACACTCAAACTCCAGCTTCGACGCTGCCTTTTCCTGGCATTTCCTAGATTTCAGCCAGCCAACTGCTATGTCACATGCATTCCACATCCTCGTAACATGTATCATGTGCTAGTTCCTATCATTCCATACCAGTATCTCTGCTCTGCACACGCAGCTGCAGCCCTCTGCTTCTACGCAAAGCAGGTGTACAGGAAATATCTCTTGGATAAATCCACTCCCCTTTTGTAAAGCTTTTTCTCTCCATTGAGAGAAGACTATTCACATGCTGTTTCATTAAGAAATGTGCACAGGCATAAAATAAGAACCATAACACTAAGAGCAATAATGACTGGGTGTTTATAATGTGTTTACTATGTGTTTTATGTACATCTATTCATTTAAACTCTAAAACATTCCTATAAAACTCCTATAAAAACAGGAATTTATTAGCCCTGTTTGAGAAACATAGAAGCAGGGATTAAGAGATGTTCATTGGTTTTCCCAAACGTTGTCAGAAGTGTCCCCTCAGTCCCAGACTCAGTGGTACCAAAATTCATGGACTGCGCCAGTTGTCATGGACAAAGTCCTGGGATGCTTAGCTAGTGAAGACAGAATGAGGCACGCATCAGGGATGGGAAGAAGTGCAGAGGTGGGCAGGGAGGAGACACATAACAGGAATGACTGCAACTGTAATCATTAACATCTTTCAACCCTAGAGGCCCATTAGAATCACTGGGAGAGTGCACACCTGCAACCCCAGCTACTCCACAGGTAGATCTGGTTTGATCCCAGCCTGAACAACATAGCAACACCCGCTACAAACAAAATAATAATAATGAGAATCCCCTGGAGAGATTTTTAAACCACCAATCCCTACTATAGTAGGTTCTGTCAGAGGCTGGGGGTGTTATAAATTCATAGACTGTTGTAAAGCTCCCCTAGGTGATTCCAATGTGAAACTATAGTTGAGCAGTTATCCTCTGTACTGTGGCCCAAATTCTGTCCTCCAGATGTCCATATAAGATTAAAATACACTTTTTATAAAGAAGGATCCTGTCAACAGATTCCTACAACAGGTGACCTTGTGTCTGGCTTATCTCACGTAACACAATGTGTTTGAGGTTTGTCATAGTCAGGAAGCAGGTGAGTGGTGGCCAGAGGCTAGAAGGATGAAGGATTGTGGGGGGTGGGTAGCTGCTTAATAGGTTGGAGAGTCTTCTTTAGGAAGGATAAAAAAAAGTTTGAGGACTAGATAGAAAAAGGGTTACATAGTACAGTAAATGTACTAAATGCCACAGACTCAGATCCTTGGAGATAGTTAATTTTATGTTAAATGACTTCATAGAGTGAGTGTGTGTGTGTGTGTGTGTGTGTGTGTGTGTGTGTGTGTGCAGTGACAGCAATCAAACTCAGGGCTTACATGTGCTAGGCAAGTGCACTATCACTAAGCTATATTCTCAGCTCACCTTCAAAATAGAACAAGCCAGGTGTGGTGGTACACACCTTTAATCCTAGCACTCAGGAGGCAGAGGCAGGTAGATCTCTGTGAGTTCGAGGCCAACTTGGTCTACATAGCAAGTTCGAGGCCATCTGGAACTACAGTGAGACTCTGCCTAAAAATAAATAAATAAATAAAAACAGACCGAAGATTGTGTTCCATGAAGCCCTGGGGTAGGAAGCAAGGTAAAGCTATGGACACTAGGGGTCGGGATCTCCTCAAAGCCAGAGCTTCCAGGGACAAACCCAAGCTTCCAGACCTCATGAAGGTTGAGATAGCTCCACTCATGTTCCACTGTGACATCCTTTGCAATTGCAGCTTATTGTGGGAGGAACCTCCTCTGTGTCTTCTCCTTGGCATAGATCTGAACTGTTATCCCTGTCCTCCCTGCCCTGAAGTTATGAGAAGGCAAGTTAAACTCTCCTGAATCAACAGTTGTCCTCAGGACCAAAGCATCAACCATGCTGGATAGAAATTCTGGTTCCCATTTCCCAGTTTGGTGTCAAAGATTTCTATTGCATTATCCTTGTCTATCTGACACTTTTAAGTTCATCCCCTTTTCCCCATTTTTCCAGCATATTTTCATTATTTTCATACAAGGGTTTGTTCTTAATAAGCTAGTTGTCACTTATGAACTCATTTATTCATTCTGAGATGAGAGAGAATATTTATTATTTATAATCACTCATTCTTGCCTCTTAAAGAGTAGCCACCCCAAAGAGGAATCTCTGCTGGTCAGGGAGCATTGAATATAACATATTCAATACAGAAGAGGCCGACCTGGTTCCCTAAGAGGTGGGATGGAGACACCCAGAAGGCAAGCTGGGTAAGGTAGCAGTGGAGATACAGTGGTAAATCTAACTGCTTTTGCTTTCTAGAAAGCAGGCTAAGAGTAGTCAAGGGTAGAAGAGCCGGGGCAGCCCTCATCAGGAGGAAGCAGAGACAGAAGGTGGATTTTCAGGAGGGTTTCCCCTGTGGATTAAGATATGAATCCATGTCTTGCTCCCCCACAAGATTTTAGTAACATGTCAATGGTCCATTTAATGAAAACAGGAAAGAGGAGCTGTCTTCATTAGTGCCTTGATTTCTCTTCTGTTGCTGTGATTTAAAAAAAATACCTTTAAAAAGCAACTTAAGTAATTTTTTTGTCTTTTTGAGACAGGGTCTTTGTAGCCCCAGCTGCCCTAGAACTCACTATGTAGACCAGGCTGGCCTTGAACCCACAGAGATCTGTCCGTCTCTATCTCCCGAGGTCTGGGATTAAAGGTATAAGCCACCACACCAAGCTAAAGTAACAGAGACACCTGTATTATTAATTTAAAGTTTGTTTTATGGCTTGTTTGTTTTGGAATTTTTTTGGTCTTTTTGAGACAGGGTCTCTCTGTAGCCACAGCTGATATGGATTCGCTATGGAGACCAGGTTGGCCTCAAACTCAAAAAGATCTACCTGCCTCTGCCTCTCAAGTACTGAGCTTAATGTTTTTTCTGGTTCCCTGTCTAGAACTTGTAATGCTAACTACTCTTGCCTTTACTTCTTCACATCCCCTATTCACCCATCAAGGACATACTTTTCTCCCTACAAATAAGAGTTATGCAATTTGGGAGTCTTTTAGATAGTCCCACTGAAGGGGTATCCCAATTGCCTCACCCTGCATCCCTGTCCAGCATCGAAGAAGCCGGAGGAGTCTACATCCCGATTCCCTATCGGCAATTTGGGTAACCTCTTCAGAGAATGATGTGATAAGAGTAGGAGGTAAGAATTGGCTAGACAGATAGGGTAAAAAGACCCCAAAGAAAGGTAGCCAGTTTCTTGGCTAAAAATCAAAATGTTTTTGGGCCTCTTAGCAACATACTCTGTTCCAAAGGCCCAAACTGTCAAAAGTATTTGGGAGCTTTTATCTAATCCCTAAAAGATTTTAGGGTTACCTCTTCAGATGGGGGAATGTTAGAGTAGCAAAAAGCCCCATAAAGAAAAAAGAGAGTCTGGCCCCCCTCTGGCCTCCCTCTGGCATAGGGTTGACAACACACAGGACTGCCTGAGAGAGCCTGAATCCTGCCTCCACATGGTGAATGAAGCCTGAGTGTACCTGGCTGGAACCTGAATTGGGCTTCTGTGGGTACCCTGAATAGCTGATCTGAAGCCATCACTTCCCTCCAAAATAAACCTGAAAGAACCTGAACCCTGTACCAACCAGCTTTACATGACCAATAAAGAAAGGATCTAGGCACCCAAATAATACAAACAGAAGCTTACTTCAACTTAACTCTCATATCAGAATCATAAACAACAAAAGTAATTCACATGCCAAAACCACAACGAAAGAATAATAAAAAGGAAAGCCAGAACTCTATGTCCCCAGCAAAGCCCACCAATCCTGTAGAAGAGTTCTACAAAGAAAACCCCCTAGAGATAACCCAGGACACTGAATTTAAAAGAACAATAATAAACATGATCAAGGAATTCAATGAATTTAAAGAACACATGAACAAACAAATCAAAGAGCTAAAAGAAGATAAGGATAAACTTCTGAATGAATCCATAAAAGAGAGAGAAACATTGAAGAAAACTCAGTCAGAAATGAAGAAGGAAGTGCAAATTCAATAAGCGAACTTGAAACAAGGGAAAGCCTCACCTCTACAATGAATGAAATGGAAAACAGAATATCAACACTAGAGGATAAAGTTGAAGAATTGGACCATTCAAGCAAAGAGTATGGAAAATTTTTAAAAACACAGGAATGAAATATGTAAGAGGTGTGGGACACCGTGAAAAGACCAAATCTATGGATCATAGGAATACAAGAAGTAGAAGAATTTCAGATTCATGGTGTTAACCAGATTCTAAATGGGATTGTAGAAGAGAATTTCCCAAAATTAAGGAAAGACATCCCCATACAAATACAGGAAGTACATAGAACACCAAATAGGATCAGAAAAGAAACTCCCCATGACATATCATAGTAAAAACACTGAATGTACAGAACAAAGAGAGAGTAAAGAAAGCAGCAAAAGAAAAACAACAAATCACATACAAAGGAAAGCCCATCAGAATTACAGCTGACCTATCAATGCAAACTATGAAAGCCAGAGAGCCTGGAACCAAGGTATTTCCAGTTCTACATGACAATAGATGCCAACCCAGAATACTTTACCCAGCAAAAATGCCTAATATAATTGAAGGGGAAAGAAAATTCTTCCATGACATGAAAAGCATGAAAGAATACAGGT